GTGACAAGCCGGGCTGTGGTGGTGGGACGTTGTATGTGCTCACCCGCGCCCGGTGCGTTTCCAGATCCAGAAGCTGTGTGACCGTGTAGCTTCTTCCACGTTACTGGATGACCGGAGGGATGCTGTCCGTGCGCTTAAATCCTTATCCAAGGTAAGCACCCAACGTCCTGGAGAGCCGCGTGGGTTCGTAATAGCGTTGTGATGCGTTGTTTAAATGCCACGTTTGGACTTCAGGCTAGACCACTAACTACTTAGTTCTTCTCGAAACAGAAGTACCGGTTGGAGGTGGGCACGCAGGCGATGGAACATCTTATCCACGTTCTCCAGACAGACCGGTAAGCATGTCACTGCCTTTGCTGGCAGCCCCCCCAGACCATAACCTGCACGTCTCTGCTGCAGAACCCACAAATACTGCCTTTGCTGGCTGTACTAATGAAGCTGGGGTTCCAACAACTCACCTGTCTGGGAGGCTTCTTTTATGATGGTAATTAGAGCCTATTTAGAGGTGAAAAGGACTGAATTCCAGGAACTCAGATGAGGGACTGAAAGACCAGTTCTAGAGTAAAGGTGATACCTTTAGTGTACCTCACTGTTCCTCAGTGGTCATTTTCCACTGCTGTGGAAAAGAGAACTCAAAATTACAATGTTTGTTGAACACAGGATTTGACATAACATGAATCAGCCTGCTACTGGGTACAAGATGAACTAGCCAGGATTAAGAGCAAAAGAGTGACGGCAGGAAATGTGTGTTTTCTCAGGTGTGTGTCATCCAGTGAACTGGTAGAATAGTCCTGTCATGGGGGGTAATGCAGGTATTTAATTTGAAGGACTCGAGAAAATACACTAGCTGGCTGCTGGTAAGTGAGATGACCCTAGTTTAAATCCTTCATGTGGACTACAATGCAGTTCTGTGCAATCCAGTGTCTGAAAAAAAACTCTACTGTCCATCTTTTCCTGCAGTTGACTGCATTGGTGTACTTGTTGATACCCACATGTTGTAACTTGGAACTTGTTTGTGGTGATTGAAGGTTCAAATAGCATGTGTTCCCAGTATTTTGGTAGGCGAGTGTTGTTTGAAGGTCTTTTAGCCTGGATTTGAACATGAAGCTGGTAAATAGATACATAGAAAGCCAGTCATAAGGGCATATGTGGCATAGTTGTATGTATGCACATGCAAAGCAGGAGGGTGTCTCCTAATGTTGGAACAAAGGAGAATTGGGAAAGCAGCAGTTCAGCACTGGAAGGAGGCATCTTGCTTTGCTTAAGGTATATATGAGAAGAAGCTCTGCTGTGCTCAGCCAAAGGCTGCTGATGGTGGCCTTCCTTGCCTGGCCAGTTATGCCAGATGTGAAGAAGTGTAGGGCAGGTGTCTAGGTGAGTTCTGTCACTTCCTTTCCATTGGTTGGGCAGTTAAAAATGAACATCTGTCTTGTAGGATGCAGGCGGTGAAAGGGAAGGTTACATGTCTGGTCAGTTCAGGTATGTTACAGGTGCTGTGAGTGCACTGTTGGGTGTCAGCGGTTGTAGAGGTAAGGCTTTGAGGACTTTTATTTGCAGGAATACAAACCACAGCCAGTTCATCAGAATAAGTGGTTGGTAAATAAGTGGCAGGCTTAGTCGAGGGGCTTGCTGAACTGTGAGGACAAAGGTCTGCTGCCGTGCCATCCATGCTCTTCTGTGTCTGCCCACAGGTGTGATCTTTGCACCTTTTGGTGTCTACCTGAGGTGCCCTGACGCTTTTTGCAGAATTGGCAAATGCTCATTTCCTCCTCCTGTCTTTCTCTATTTTCTTTTTGCATTGCAGCTGCTTAAGATTATTTCTAAGAAGCAGCAATGCAACCAGAGATAACAGAAGTCAATCACGGACTCAAGTTGTCTTCTCACGTTACTGTATTCATGTGACTTACGTGTGCTAGTTGTGTACATTGATTGTTGCTGTAAGTTTTAAGATTAGAGAAGGTTTAATTTGATTAAACATACGAAGGGACGAGGAAAATGGAAGGGACGAAGAAAATGGAATGATGAAGTCCAGATAGTGACTTATGTTTTCCTCTGCAGCTTAGCTTTAGGGAGGTGGGAAGAGTGCATTTTCAGTGATGTTAGGTTGGCCTGAAGATGGGTGACTTAAGTGCCTGAGGTGACACTTTGGCCATGAAGCTTCTGATGGTTATCTTATGGTGGTTGAGATGTTACACACCTGTCTGCCTGTGATTTGGGCTGTATGCCTGTAGTTGCTGTTGTCTTGTGTGCACCAGAATGTGAACCTCATACATTGGGATTCCTCTCTTGATTCCTGGTTGAGTAGAAGCAACACTTGGTTGGGCTATATCAGGTGAGGCTTTATGTGCTCTCTAGCCTTTTTTGCAGGTGTTTGGGTGGGAAGAATTACAGGGAGAAGCCAGAAGCATGGGTCTCTGAATTCCGTGGTTCTGAGTGCATGTGTGGAAAGGATAGCTGGTGTACACAGTACTGTAACATGAGAACAGAACAAGTGCTTTCCTGTAACGTAGTTACATCAGATTAATGGAATAGTTCAAGATGCAAAAGTGCCTGATCTTCAGCAGCATTTGTCTTGCTGGAATGTTAGTGATATGCAAAACAGAAGCAACTTTGCTGGTAAGAGTTGATTATTACCTAATGTAAAGCAGCTCATTGTGAAATCAGTGTCTAATCAGAAAGTCATTTGGGTTTAAGACCTTCTGAGTCAAGTAGGATAGCACAGCTCTTTCCTGAGAATTATGTCAACTTTTATTATGTAGCCCTTGAGTAAAAAAGCTGTCTGAGAAGGCCTGGTTTGCATGGTTGTGCCGAAATGGTGAGCGCTGCTTGTATCCTTTTCTCATTTCTGTCTCAGATCTTAGGCTGTTGCTTCAAATTATTTATCCTGGAACAGAAATAAACCACTTCTAAACGAACATGTCATTCCACTTGTTATACAGTTTACTTGTACATTGTCTTAAGCACCTTTTCCTGCCTGAGTGCTTAGAACTTGTTCTGTAGAAGGCTGACTTCTTGCACTAGTTTTTCAGCTATATGAGCATCAACTATTCTGGAGCCTGACAAAGCTCCTAAGTCAGCCTTTAAATGCTCCAGACTCTTACACGCACCAGTGTTCATAGACCATATGTTTATTTTGTAATATGAAGTATGTACCGTGATCTGCAAGAGGACTTTTCCTGACTTGCTGCCTAGATGTTGCTACATCCCACCAGGGATTATTTGGGCACTGGCTGCAGGAAAGGCCAGTACCACTTAACTGTTGGTGTGAGAGAGGCACCAGAGCAGGAAACCAGCTTGATCTTTAACTGCTTTGTTTTTACTGATGGAACAAGGTTTTTACATTTTGCTGTGGCAATTCTAATAGTTTGAAACCTAACATGAACCTGAGAAAAAGAACTGTGTTTTCATAAGGCACAAACCTCATTTATTTTGGTGCTACTAGTTCCAAATTTGTGTTGTAATATGCTTCTCATTACGACTTGTGTAAGACGTAATACAAATGTCACTACCCCTTTGATAGCTGTAGCATGACTTGAGTTTTTAGGGATGATAAAATGCCCTCCTCTCTAGGCATGCTGTGATTGATGACATGATAGAAATGCTCTGCTGTTCTATTCGTGTCTTGCCAGTATGAATGATGCTTGTCTCTACTGGGCTAGTGAAATGCCATAGTGTTAGAACAGGCATAAGCATCTTGGAAGCACCCTACCTGAGCAGGACAGTACATGGTGACTTTGCTTCCCTAGGTCTCTTCTATTGTGCGTGAGTTCAGGGAGTGTGGCACTGGTGCTTTGGCTGAGTGCCGCAGAAAAGCACAAGGATGCAAGATGTCTGAAGTGTTTTCTGCTGGGTTGTTGTGTTGGATGAAGGCTGTGTCATTTCTGGACGTGTGTGAGGCTGGAAGTGCATTTCTTTGACTGCTTTTCACTAGACCCAAAGCTGCACAGCTTCAGTCTGAACAGAATATTCACTGAAAATGTTGTATGTGGTGAACAGCAGATGGTAGCAATGCAGTGAACAGCAAAGATGCTGCTGTTTGCCTTTTGTGATGTGCTCCTCTTGTGACAAGAGAAACAAGGCCTGCTTTTACCATGTGCACGTAAAATTTGCTTATCCTTTTGTAGCTGCTGTGGTGTCCCTAAAAAGGGAAAGGGAAAGCAAGGCTGAAGCTTGCATTTTAAGTATCCAGGAAATACTTTCTATGTGTTTTTCAGATGTGAAATTCTTCCACTGACATGAAAAGGAAACCACAGGCTTTGTAGTATTGTATTGAAAAACTAAAATGACAATAATGGGAAAACATAAGCAGGCTGGAAGTCTGAGCATACTTGCTGGATGAGACTGTTCATGGAGTAAAAGCTTGCTTTACCTGCTTTGGCTAACAGTTTGGCAAAGGAGGAGATGATTTTTTCCCCTTTTGTTTCCGTTAAAGCCCAGCTTAAAAGCAGGTGGTATGAGTTGAGTGACACACTGAGGAAAAATGCCAGTGTCCTGGGAGGATATCAGAAGGACAAGGGTTCAATTTAAAACCCAAGGTGAAAGAACACAAACTACACTGATGCCTGATTATTTGTAGCTTTTGATTTAGTGTCAGTCATAGAAAGGGAGGTGAGATGTCACGTTGACAGCTTGCTAAAGCCCTTCTTGACACAAGAAGTACAGATATCGATTGCTTCACTCTGTCTTCTCACAGCTGGGGGATCACCTTGAGGCATCTCCAGTTTTCTTGGTTGCAACAACTGCTCTAGGTCTGTCATCTTTAGTGGTTTAGCAGAGATACCTGGCCTCAGTTAAGGCTTGTTTTTTAAGATTGCTGGTTAGGTTGGTTTGTAGGCCTTTGCTCTGAACCTGCCTAGGAGCTTCTTACCATACAAGTTGATCTTTGGTGTGGAGGCCTTTGCTTTATGTGCCTTAGAGATCAGTGAAAGCGAACACTTAGAAGTTTGAATGAGAGGTCTTGTTTTGACAGTGTGCTCTTCTGATGTTTGGGCAAGACATGTAAAGAGCTGTGAGGAGAGTTCTTCTGCCCTCTGAGGTGCCTTCCTTTGTGATGTTAGGTTTTATTCTCCTATTGTTTTTTGGCCAGCTGTGCTTTCACGCTTTTCTGGTTGATGAGCAATAAAGCAAGGAACAAAAACAGTTACATCCCCCCTCAACTTTTGAACTGTGTTGTAAGATTGGGTTACAGATTGTTTGGTCTTCACAGTGCAGAAGAAATGGGTCTGTCTTAAAGCAGGGCTTATTAAGAGAAGAGTCTTGGTGTAAGCAGCTGAACTAATGCTTTAGGGTTAGATTGGTTGCCCAGCAGCTTCCTGGCGGTGCCTGGACTTCAAAACCCCTTAATAACTGGGTGTAGACCGAGTTGGTGACATGGAGACTGGCTTGTTTGGGAGAATCCCGAACTTGCTGCAGTCACGTGGAGCACAGGCTTTCAGCCTCTAGTTCCCACTGATGGGGTGGCAGGGAGGGTCCTTCCTGGGTTGGTGCTGAAGCTCATCTGCTTCTTCCTTGGGTGACTTTCTGGGATGGGATCCGAATCCTTTCCAGACATTTCTCCTGGTATACTTGAGGAGCAGGTTGGAAGGAGTGGCTTGGGAAATGGGAGACATGCTGACAGTGAAGCTTTCCGCAGTCACCTTAAGTCATCAGACTTTCTGGATGTGGCCACCTGAGGGAATGGAACTGGGAAAAGGAGTTTGACTCCATTCTGGGACCAGACAGCTTATGGTTACATGGTATTATGAAATGTCTGTCAACATCAGTCCTTCTCACTTGATCTCATGCTGCCAAGGGAACTGCCTGTACAGAAAAATCCTGTTGTAAGAGTAGTTGGAAATAAGTCATTAAAGAAAAGTGGTTCTTCTATTTGCAGTTCAGATTCTGAAATAATTGGCTATGCCTTGGACACTCTCTACAATGTAATATCAAATGACCTAGAAGAGGAGGAGCAAGGTAAGTGCTTGGTAGTAATAGCTGTATTAACTGTGGGGGTGCTTCCCTTGGTGGTTTTGTTGAAATCATAAACTGTAATGGCCTGTGATTTACTGATGCTGAGACTTGCTTTGTTATTGTGTAGCTGTTAAGACAGTGCTAAAAATCGTGTTGTACACAGATTGCTTTAAAGTAGTATTGGGTCTCTTGCCTATTAATATAAAAAACCTGTGCTCTGGGAAGAACAGCCAGGTTGGAACAGAATAGTGAATTGTTTTTTCTAGCTTGTAAATAAAGAATAAAGTAATTCTTTGTATAGGGAAAGGGCAGTTCTGACTTACTGTCAAATGGGACACTGCTATGTGAGAGAAGATCTCAGGAGCCTATGGTAAGGTGCCTATGTATAAGGGTGAAAACCTTCTTTTCCAGCCCCACTGTGGCATTGTAGAAAGAGACTATGCCTGTCCTTCCCAAGACAGTTAGATGTAGAAGTAAACACTATACAGCTAGCCTGAGAAACTGTTTCTAAGCCAAATGGCTGTAGACCTGCTTTCCAAGGTTTTAAGAGGAAAACAACAACAAATAAAAAGGCTTCTTCCATTTTGCTTTTGGGTGGATGAACATGAAAAGCCATCATACCAGCATGTCCAAAACTAATCAGACTTATTGGACAAGCATGAACACAGTGTGAGCATAAGGGTGCTTTTAAGATGACTCAGTATCTGCATTCGTAATATCCTGCATTTATTCTTGGACCTTAAGAGACTTGTGAGTCCTTGGCAGTGCCTGTATCTCAGTTTTCAGTTTCCATTACATGTAGTGGAGCATGGATGCTCCTGCAAATGGGCAAAATATGAGGTGATACTGCCATTTGAGACTCTTGTCTGTAATATTTACCCCAAAGTATTTTTTCAAAGGCTCCTTAACTCATAAATTACCTCATGAAAAGTCAGTGAGGGTTCTCCAATATGAGTAAATGTCTACCAGTGTGTTGGCAGACATTACACTGTGCAGTTGGTCCTTTCACAGTGCCTTCTACAAAGAAGTGACTTGTCTGACATAGCTGCAAGTCACTTATAGGCCGAAATCCTTGTGATTTGTTGTTCATAACCAGCTATCAGATGGTCACTTTGCTTACTTGCCCTTGTTTCCCTTGTTCATTCAGTTGTCTGATCTTGGTGAAGGAGATTTGGACAAGATCAGAGCTTTACAGTGCTGGTGAATCCATGTTCATGGTAGTGGGCTTAATTATGGACTTGCCAAGAACGTTATTAGCAGTCTCTTGGAAAGAGCAAAGAATTGACAAACTTGAGTTATGTATGTGAGATCACCACTGTTGAAAGAGTTAGGGGGTGGTTTAGTTTGGCTACCTTTGTAAGAACTACCAGAAGGAGTAATTGCTGCTGTACACAGCTAGGGTGGCTGCTTTGAAAATCTGAGCTTATGCTGCTATTGGTTGTGCTGTTTGGAAAGCTATTCAACTTGTAAACCTTTCTCTTGTTTCTTTTTCTTTTATCTGCATTGACAGATGATTCTGAAGGTAAAAGAACCTTTACTTATATAAATATGGCACTTTTAGACATGGTTGCTGCTCACACCTGTAACACTCACTGCTGTTTAAAAAGGACACTGTAAGGACTTGCATTAGAGCTTGGTGAAAACTTTTGCATGTTCTTTAGAGCTGAAGTGTCTACCCAATTTTATTTCTTGGGTGATTTGGGCATGTTGGAATGCTAGCCAATCTCCAGAGATTGTAATAATGATAAATTTCTGCTTAGGATGTCATGAAAGCATGCAGCTTCACAACTGGTAAGATTTCAACGGGCAAAAGTTTTGTGAACAGAGCTTCTGTTTTCAAGAAGCCCCGAAGTTGGAGACACAGGCATGGGCTGTGTATCAGATCCTTCACAGTGTCTCTTTTAAGCAATGCATGTTAAAAATACAGTGTTCTCTTCTACCATAAGTTCCCACTAACACTTTGTATGTTCTTGTTTCATAAACTGGTTATATCACAAAGCATTTCATCTGTTAATTTTAAGATTAAATTCCAGTTTGCAGTGCTGCTTCTTAGTGACTCATTAAGAGCCAGTTTTCATAGATGGAAGTTGTTCTCTTTATATGAACCCTGTGAATGTGTAGATGAAAAGAGTGATTATGAGGAGAAATCTGGTTGCAAGATCTGTGGTGTATCCACATAAATAGAAGATGCAGTTTCCCTTTGCCAGTTTCTTTCTATCTGGCTCATCTCTTTTTTTAAATGAAAAACAGTACAAGAAATACTGATTAAAAAAAAGCTAGAATTGAGAGGAAAGTAAAAAGACAACTTTAATTTGGCTCTTTTCTAGATTAATCCTAAATATACTGACCTAAAGCCAGGCTTTTGGCATAAATAAAAATTATAACAAACTAGTAAGAAGCTGAGTTGTTTGTACTGCTCAGGCTTTGCCTTAGCACCTGGAGCTTGTGCAAGGACAAGAGCTGGGATTAGGTGGAATCCGTAATTCAAACACTTGCTCTTTGTAACCGAGTTAAAGGACTTGGGGTGAGGTCCTGGGTAAAGGACAATATGCTCAGTCACAGCTCACAGGGAAATTCCAAGTGAAATATTTCGACTTAAGCATCTATTTAAAAGAAAAAAAAGTGCACGTCTATGGGCTTTCATTGGTTTCTAGTAAGCTGCAGTGCCTGCAATCTGGGTATGATTCTCAGCTGAGTTGCCCCTTAGTCTATAGTAGCAAGCGCAACAGCCGAACTTCTGTGACAGTGGCTTACCTGAGGTTTTAATTTACTCCTGTAAACCAGGAGTGACACAGACTTGATGAGCTCCTGAGCCTCAGAGAGCTCACTATGGGACTTGTGTTCTGCTAGATGCTTTGTGCCAGAGCTTGAGTTAGTTTTGCACATAGCCTGCCCTCCCTTTTGTCATCTTTTGTTAGTACTTCCTAGTTTCTGCAGCTAAAAAATGACAGGTGCTGCTTCTCTCTTCCTCTTCTAAACTACCTACTGATAAGCCTGCTTCAAGAGAAAAATATAGACTCATAGAATAGTTAGGGTTGGAAAGGACCTTAAGATCCTCTAGTTCCAACCCCCCTGCCACAGGCAGAGACACCATACAAATATGTGTGTGTGTGTGTGTATAAATATATGTACACACACAGATTGTGTTAGAGCAATGATCAGTTGCTCTCTGACAGACCATTCTATGATGTCTGAAAGGCCAAACAAGTATCTCCGTCCTTTGCTGGAAATACTTAAACATGACATACAATAAAGTGATACCTTGCAGCAAAACACCATTGCCAACAGTCTGAATTGGGTTAATTGAATTAAAATTGTTTTCTTGGCACCAAATTTTTATGGCAGAGTCCTTTGATTTGTCTGTTTTGCCATGCTCCTAATGAGGTACACTTGGAAGATTATGTGTGGTCTTTGACCCTTTCTATGTCTGCTCAGTTGTTAATGGTTTGTTAGGGACTCCTTGATAAGGCTGTAAATCCTGCAGTTTAAGCAGGAGGCAAAAGCTTTGTTTTGCCTTCACTTCAGTAAACCAGACCTTCAGATTTGGTCAGAAATTTAGTGGCTTTACCATGTATTTTCTGTGCTTTATGCTTCAAGCTGTTCTTGAGCCTGTTAGCCATCAGCTAGCACGGGATGAATGTACATGTGCATGATTTGTAGGGCATGTAAAAGATGCCCTATGATGTAAAAGATGAGCAGCAGTGCCTTTGCTATGGCTCTGCAGTGAAGTGTGATCAATGGGAAGAGCATTTTTTCCTTTTGATGCTGAAATGAGTTTGTTTAGTAGATTTTTGGTTCCCTCCTGTTTTTAAAACAAAATACCTTTCAATACAAGTCATGTTTAGAGTAATGTAGTTTTTTTCTCTTTTGTGTAAAGCTTGTGTCAGTGTTTGTTTTGAGAATAATGAACATTATAGCAGTGACTCTAGACCTTTCTGTTGCTGGTGGCTCTACTTTAAGACTAAAAATTACCATGATCTGAAGTTCTTCCAATCATGTGGTGTAATACATTGTTTTTACTATTACAGAAGAAAACTTAACAAAAGTTGATGATTTGGGGAGTCAGTTCACAGAGATATTCATTAAACAGCAAGAAAATGTCACACTCTTGCTGACACTTGTGGAGGTGAGTAGTAATATCATACTTGGAACACTGAGAAGAGATATCATGCTGTACCAGGAGATGATCTTAATGAATAAAGCTTCCCTCTTGGCTTTCTAGTGAAGCCTATGACAAATGTTAGGTAGTCTTAGACATGGTGAATGTGGGGTTGGAGATGAGGGAAGTCTATGACCTGGATGAATAGGTCACTTGAGCTGTCGAATGAGTTTGAGATGACCTGAGGAGCCCAAAGGTTTGTTGTGATCGGTCAAGTCTGTCCATGGACTTGTCAGCAAGAGAAAGCTCAAGAACTGACAAGACCCAGTTTTAACAGAATAGCTGCTGCTACTTTTTGGTGATAGGAAGAAGACACAAAAGAGTTTGCTATTCTTTCTCTCTTGGATTTCTGGTTAATACAGGCTGATCCCTGCAGGATCAGACTGACTGGTTTTTAGAAAGAAGATATAGCTAAGAAAGCTACCCAGGAGGAGAGGGAGGAAAGGAAGCTGCTGGGTGTTCAAGTTGCTGACAATAAAATACAAAGAACCGTGGAACAGGAGAGTGTTTTGACTTGCTGGGTGAGTGCTGTGATAGGATGGATGGAAAAAAAGGTAGACATCAGGTGAAATTCCTTATCTGTTTGGTGTCTGTTCATAACTGGGATCTAGAAGAGGAAGATTAATACTGAGGAATTTATTACTTGATGTCTTCTTCTTCATCCTTGCAGGAATTTGATTTCCATGTTCGCTGGCCTGGAGTGAAACTCCTTACATCTCTTTTAAAGCAGCAAGGACCTCAAGTGCAGCAGATAATTCTTGTCAGCCCTATGGGTGAGTGGTTGAGTTTCTTGCGATAAACTTGCAGTTGGAGGCTCTGCAAACATCATGGCAAAGGGCTAGAGGGGCTGCACCTCTTTTTATGCTCACTCTATGAATTTCTTGCAGGTGTTTCCAGACTCATGGATTTACTAGCAGACTCTAGGGAGGTTATACGAAATGATGTAAGTACAGAACAAAGGTGGCTTATTCTCTTCATAAATAGTAACTGTTACCTGAATTGCATATACTTGTGCAGAATTTGGATTAAGTTAAACAAGTGCACTTGAAGAAATGATTGTGGTTGCTAATTGGGAATATTTTACTCCACTGTTGAGCTTGGGTGGCTTTTGGATGTCAGGCTACAATCCTCATAACAAAGGCAAACCATTACTGGATATTTAATGCAAACACCAACCCTTGTGCAGGGTTTTCCTTGTATGTTAGCTGATATTTCTCTTGGCCTTCTGTCAGGTTCACTGCAGTCCTTCCTCTTTTCTTATTAGCTGACAAAACACTGTAATTGCTTTACAAGTTCCTTCTTTCTTCTGTATAGCTGCTTAGTGTCCTTTTTAACAGTACTGTGCTTCTGTTTTGAACTACAGAGATTCTGGACAGGATTATGTTGCTGATTTAGTGTTCTTCTAAGAGCTGTGACTTGTAAAAAGCAATGTAGTTCAACTAAGTTTAATTTATTCTGTTCCCTACATGTCAAGGGAGTCCTGTTGTTACAGCAATTGACAAAAAGTAACGCAGCCATACAGAAGATTGTTGCCTTTGAGAATGCCTTTGAGAGACTTCTGGATATCATAACAGAAGAAGGAAACAGTGATGGAGGTACAGAAAAGTCCAAGACTTAGTCCTGTGCTTCTGCGCAAACCACTGGGTGATGATGTTTATAGGCTGATGTTAGTATGTGATTGGAGCTAGGTCAGTGGCTACAAGGATCAAAACATACAGCCTGGTAGTACCAAAACCAGACTGAACAAGTAGGCAGGGTTTGAGCATCTTTTGAAACCTAGTCTTGAGATACTTAGTTAAGACATCAGTTAATTTCTCTGAGCACTTGTGCATGAGTTTGTGTGGTCTTGTCTGGCTGAGGTCTGTGAATGTGTACACTTGGAATGGCAGTGTCAGATACATGTGTGCTGCATTTGTCACTTTCTGGGTTAAGCATCTGCATTCCTCCTTCGAGATCCTTGGATGCTTGGAGTGGCTGGAAATAACAGCTTGGTAGGTTTCTTCAGCTTCACTAATAATTTCAGTTTCCTGATCAGCTCCTTGCCAAATCATTTACCAGCTGGGGTGAAAGGATATTAAAAAAAACTGAGCAGAAATGATGCAGCATTTAGGTGCTTTTTATTAGCAACACATTAGTTTACCACCATTTGTAGTCTGCTGCAGGATCTATGTCAGTAACAAGGCATTTTGCTGTTCCACGACTTTTCTGTGGGATGCAGGAGCAGTTAACGCTTCTCTCCCAGATGAATTATTCCAGGTATGTTGGCATGGAAGAATTAAGCAAAGCTCTGATTCAAAGCTGCTATTTTGAGGCAGTTAATAATTTTAGGTGAGTTGGTATGTGAAGTCTTAAATGCTCGGAGTTCTCTGCTCTCTCCCTTGCCCTCCCCCCCACATGTCTGTTTCTCCCATCTGCAGCTCTGCTGAGTGGGAGAACTAAACTGGTCTTGCTTTGTTCTCCCACTCCCAAGTCCAGAACTGCCTGCGTGTGTTCAGGAGTGCAAGGAGTAAGTCTTTATCTTCCACATTGAGTCAGATTTGGAGGCATCCCAGCAGTACCAGTGCCTTTACTAGTGTTGTTTTATGGACAAAGTTGTCTGAGGATTTTCTCTTCACAGAGCACATACTTGATTAGCATCTGTAGTGCTTTTCCAGCACAGATAAAACTTGAGGATAAAAAACCCTGTTGGAATTCCAAGGAATTGAGTTTTAATTGACTCATTGGAAGGGCTATTTCTAGGAATTGCTGCTCCACCAAATAACCCAGACAGCAGCTTTGAAATGAGTTGAAGATGTAACCGGTGATTGAAGAGAATGAATGTCTAATCCACGAAGAATTGCTGCATTTGAATTATGATGCAGTTCCAGAGGAACTTAATTTTAGTGCTCACAATAGAGAGAGAGTTGTGTAGCTTTACTCTGAAGTAGGTATACTTTAAGACATGAAGTGGTTGTGAGGCTTTCTTTGAAGTTCACCCAATGAACTCATACAGATTGTCTGTTCTTTGGAAATAACAGTTTTGCTTCAGACTTGTGGAAGAAACACAGTTATGGTTTCTCTGGAAATGTGCTGGATTGACATTGATGCACTGAATTTAGAGTGACCTTTGTTTTTTTTTTCATGTGTATGGTTCACAGTTCTTGACTGAACTCTAATGTTTGGTAAGAATGGAAGAGTTCAGAAGCATGTGCTCTGTTCTGTCCAGAGCATATTCAGTGTGTGGAGAAGCCAGTTAGTTTTCTGTGTGTAATATTTTAATTATTTCTTTGGATTTTCTGTCTCGCTAGGAATAGTAGTGGAAGACTGTCTCCTCCTATTGCAAAACTTGTTGAAGAATAATAATTCCAATCAGAATTTCTTCAAGGAAGGTTCATACATTCAGCGTATGAAGCCTTGGTTTGAGGTTGGAGATGACAACTGTGGGTGGTCTGCACAGAAAGTAACTAATCTCCACCTAATGCTGCAGGTAAAACACTTCATCTCCTAAGTACTGATTTCAGCACTTTCAGCTCTGCAGTGAAGAATTAAGTATAATGTAGTAGTCAACTATGAGATCCATGTGTTTGTAGATAGACTAAGATACTAATGTTCATGAGATGTACTGCCTTCAGCACAAACACTAGTGCCAAATTGTGCATTTGGACTGGCTGGCATATTGGGCAACTGAAGATTTAACAGTGATTTCAATAGATAACTGGGGGTGTTCTGTATGAGGAGTGCCCCTGCATGAGTTCATATATGGCTGCAGTGCATTAACCTGGTTCTAGCAGCTGCCTTCACTATGGATTCATAATTACTGATTTTTGGTCATCTTCCTTTCTGCTTACTCCTCCAAAAATGGGAATAAGGTTTTCCTGTTCTGTGGCACTTTGTATGGAAACTGAATGTTAATGATGAAGGTAGTTTGTCACTTTCTGAAAAGTAATTCTGACAAATAGTGAGCCAAGTAAGAGGACAGTTAGAGCTTGATTTCTCATCACATAGTTGCAAGGTTTGCAATGGGGTCAGAGATTTGAAGGTTTTAGAGAGTTTCACTGAACTCAAAATCAAATGGCCCAGTGTAGCAATGAGGGAAACATGGTGTTCAGTTATTTTCTATCTCCATTTTGAGGAGCAATTCTCTTTCATGGCCAAACTTCAAATGGGTAAATCAGTTCTATTTGGTGTTTCAGAAGGTCTCAGGCTCTCTTCACATAGTGAAGTAACGAGTGGTGTCCCTCAGGGATCGG